AGAATACAGATATTCATCTCTATTCTATATACAGCTATATATCGATCAATTCAATTGTGATTTCCATTTACCTCCTTCTCTATATCCATACAAAATATCTATCAAACAAATAAAATTAAAGTTTCTTTTGAAAAATGCAACCATTCCATCAGTATTTTCTTATGACGTTGTCACGTTCAACTATCGTCAGTAAACCGACTTTACAGACAACCGATTTTTTTTAATTAATGGTGCTGTATTCAGGTTCAAACAAATTGTGTATTCATCACCTTTTCCATTTACATTATACACCCATCTTAATATCAGTTATATGTAAACTTTCATCCATTTCATTCATAGACTTACATTCGAATCCATTCAGGACGGCATTCCAAATAAAAACCCAACAGATTTAGATTTCATCTTTTGAATGAATTTGAATAATATAGGAATAATACGAATTGCCACATTTTTGCATAAAAAGCGGATTCGTGTCCCTTTTTTTAAGGAATAAGTTCACTTATTGACGTTCCTAAGAACACATTCAAGTTCTCACGTGCAATCCAAATAGAATAGTTTAAATTTACAAAATCTTTGTTTAATCAGGTGAAGTAAATTCTGTTGAACTCAGCAACTAAACTTCACAGTATTAGAGCTTCTACTTGTTTTATATCGGAACCACCTGCACAGACTTCAAAGTGTCGAACTATTTGCACTTTACGTTCTCTAAGCAGATCGTTTTTGTCTCTAAATTTCTAACAGTATCTACTAGTATTTGGTATATCATTAGTCTATTCTAGAACGCTTAAAATAACTTCTTTAGATATAAGATCTACAAATTAAAAGGGAAGAGGCTTTCATTTTCAATATTTTCTATCTTTATTATTTGTGAACCAATTTATTTATTATTTAATTTGAAGAAAATATTTTACTTCTAAACTCAAAACTTTGGAAAGTAAAATACATATAAAAATTTAACGCTATTTAAACGTTATTTTTAAAAGTTGATTATCAAGAACTTAAACTTCTGAGAACACATTTTGGTAACATTGGACATATGCGTGGGACACTAAGAAAATTAGATCAGATCTTCAGATCTTACCGTCGAAGAAGCGTGCTTCGAAAATTGTGGGTCAGTCTCGACTGGAATGACACTACGGCCTCAAAGAAAACAGGTGTTAAGTTGCTTTTAACTGAGTAAGTGAGGTTACAGGAGCCCAGAGACCTCCCTCCCCCTCTTGATTCTTACTCAAAACAATCAAGGTAGTCACTTACCATCAGGTACTGTCTGCTCATTTGCCCTTTGTGCCATAAAAAAACACAGAATTTCATTTTAATATCACAGTTCCAACGTCTGATTAATCTTCTAAGTATTTTAATGTATGCACACACACACACACACACACACACACACACACACACACACACACACACACACACACACACACACACACACACACATTTAACTCAAACTGTCTTTGGTATATATTATACATACGGTCATCATCCAATCAACAGTGTCTTCATCGTCTCAATGCCCAACGAAACACACTATTGTAATTCCTTAGAGCCGTAACCTGTCTCTTAAGATACAGGCGTAGCCTAGTTTAAGAGACATGATTCAATTTTGAATATACAACAATATTTTGTAACTTTAGAACTTTAGCGTATAATACTGTAAATACCAATTGTGTCTGCTGGTTTTACTGTTGTAACACCTTTGGACCAATAAATATATTTATGATTATTTTAATGTATAGATTTTCATCAAGATTATGTATACTTTGTGTGTAGTAACGGCTTATAAATAACACGAAGCGTAATATTATCCAGTTTTATTTAATCTCACAGGGAAATGATGGCTTCAGAAATTTCATTTCATAAAATAAAATCAGCGTCTACTGGACAAAGCTAATACATCTCGAATAGTATTACGAGCCACTAACATCGTTACGTTTCAATAATAAAATACTGCGCTAAAGCGCAGTATTGAATGAATTCAGCGCTATAAAATCTCAAATGGCTGCACAAAAGGTGATATTTGCTCAAGTAAAATTCGACTTCACAACTGGGATATAAGGTTCAATGCTGATTGATAGCGATATTCCACTTGTTGCGAGATCTAAGATTCTGTTGTTGTGAGATTCAATCTAAAGGATTAGCAGTATAATTAGACGGGTCTTGTTGGGTGTTGAAATACAACACCACAGCGTAGTATTGCACGTTGTATTCGTATTTGGAATCTGTGCGCTAGAAACGTGTGGATTGGTTGATGGGTATCGGTATTTATGTTAATGTAGGTTTTGTCAATCTGAACAGTACTTTTTTGAGTTGACCCTTAATAACTTCTGTCCATTTGTATCAGATACGACAACATCCGTATGGTGGCGTATTAAGAATATGGAGTTCTATTCATGTCATGGGTGTTGTAAGATCCCACTAAAGTAGCAAACTATGCAGAACAACAGCACTTCAAAGAGCGGGAAAACTTGTCACAAACTGTATAAAAGCCCGTCTGGCCAGCGTGTTTGGAGTAGGTCATAACCTCCTTTCTAAGGAGAGGCCTTTGTCCAGCAGTGGACTATTAAATTCTGTTGATGTGTGATGATCACAAATTGTATGCAAAATTTTGTGATAATTTTGTAGTCAACACTTGTTATCTCAATTATATTAGTAAGGATAATATATTTATTACCTAATTTTCCAAATAGCCAAACCAAGTGACACAGCCTTCTCTTGACTGATGAAATTTCAATTACTAGTTCAGTATTACTTACAAGTAGAATACTTTATCAATTTCCTAGTTGAAGCTTTTTCTATATGTTATATTACATGTACTGCCACATTCACAGTGTTTGAAAGTAGCATCCGAGTAAAGTATATAGAAAATAATACAACGAAAATAGGTCAATTGTTTATTCTCAGTACATTCAAAGCATTGTCACGTGCCAAAGTCTATCTTATAAATATTATTTACATCTTATTGTAGTATTAAGTATTAAGACCGCTCGCTATGATGTTCTGCCTTTGTTAGAAAGGATTCTTAATTATTAACAGCAACATGAACGCCTGAATAGACTTAAAACTTTAGCTTTATATATATATATATATATATATATATTATTAAGTATAATGGCTTTAGAAATTTTTTGAGCACAAGAATACTTGTGCTTAAAAAAGTTCAGAGAAAAAGTCAATGGTAGTGTAAAATTCCCGCACACAAATCTGCATTTTTGGATTTAAATGTCGAAATTGAAATATACATCATCCAGGTAAATATCAAAATTTATATTTTAATTTCCATCAATGGCAGAACCCATAGGGCCAGTTTTGTAAGTGAGTGACGTGACATTGTCGTATCGTTCAGAAAGCGCCCTGTGGTACAATCCAATACTGATTCTTAAGGCCAAGCAATTCTGGTTACTAGCTATGGCACAATCCTTAGATTTGTCATCGACCATTTGAATTTGCTTTTTTAAAACTTTAGCAAACTTTATTACTTTCTCTAATATTTAAAAGTATTTATCATTTTAATTCAAAATATTAACAGTTTTTTCAGTCGTTATACGTAAAGAAAAACACGATATTTTTTTACTTTTTAATTAATATTTTTTTTAAAGACATCTCCTGCATTAAGAATGTATCCTGTGTCGCGGGGGACTTTATAAACATACATAAAACGGACACAAAGAACACCCAGACTCAGAACAATGAAAATGTCATAACTATTGGAGTCGCAAGAACTACAAAATGTTCTAAGCTACTCAAATGGTTGATGACAATTGAAATTACTAACGCTAGCTTAAAAATTTTGTGCAATTTCATATAAATCCCACCACTTCCTGACAAAAATAGATTGTTTCTCATCTCATTATCGCTACACATTGTCTACATTAGTTGTCTATCTAATAATACACCCATTTTGGTAAAATCAGAAAAGCTGAAAAATTCCAAAATAGATGCACGTCCCATTTATATAACCTAACTTGCGATATTGTCGGCATACATCTAGAACTAATCATTAAAAATAACTGCCAAGCGTTTATCTACAAGAAAATCAACGCTTATAGTTAAAATATCACACTCGAAAATGTATTAATGTAGTATTATCTTGTGAAAAGATTTCGTTTAAAGTCAAGTTCACAAGTAAATTGCCTGAAGTATAGTGAAAGACAAGTAATCAAGGCTTACATTGAAGAATAAATTCTGTAATAACCTTACTGAGATTTTAATATTGTTTTAAAAAACCTTTTACACGCCCTTTCTTTGATTAATAATAATAAAAGTAGTACAAAAGTTCAGTTACTGCAACATCCAAACGAATTTATGCTTGAATAATAAGGTGATACTTTTCGATTAGGAAAGTACAGTAAAAATTCTAGCTAAAATATGGTACCTACTAACGACGATTGAATCAAATTTCGTCATTTAAGTCATAAAACGTCATTGAAATCCCCCCACAGAAGCAAAGATAATCATAAAAGGAAAACTGAAACCATAACTCCAAAAAATATTACAATTTTTCATTATTTATATTCAACATCATCGTCAGTGAAATACCTAGACCTATTTAGTAGCGTGCCATGGATTTCCCGTGCAGGTGCCGGGTCCATCGCGTGTTAGATGGGGGCAACACATGCGACTTCGACAGCGCTTGGGACTAAAATTATAAATGAGAACTACATCAGATTTTAGAAATATGCACCAAAAACCACATACATTTTCTTCTCAAGATTTGATCAAGCAGGACCTTTGCAATAATAGAGGTAACTGCTTCTGTCAACATGTCAAAGGCGAAAATTTGCGGCAGCTGACATATGCTGACATTATAACTGTATGAGATACGTCCGTGCAATCGCTGACGATGAGGATCATGAGTGCATTTGCCTCTGTTATGTCGCGACCCTACCTATACATATTTTGATCCAGAAGGTATTACAGATTTCGATTCGCATCACATTTATTCTGCAAGTGACCAGTTTAGTCTTGACTTCTTGTCTGTATACAAAAAAACCGTAAAATTAATATGTTTTCATTAATATATGTTCCGCAAGAGGTGCCTCCATATTGGCTAAAACATTCTTCTTTTTCTTATCTTTCCTATGCAAAGTACACTTTTTGTCTTTCATTCCAATTTCGGATTTGTTGTGTGTTGTTTTAATTTGTGACGACACAGACAAATTACGTTTTTTGGTCCCACACGGTGTATTGTCACTAGATTTTTTATCACTTGTTTTTTTTATTGCACTTTTTGTGTCCACTGTTTTGTTTTTGTCTTCTTTTTTGAGTGTTTTTTCTTCTTCTGACGTAACTGACAGCTGCAAAGGTTCGAAACATTTTGTTGACCTCTGTGAAAAAATAAACTGTTTTAAATACTGAATCTGATAATTTTAGAGTAACTATATTTTATTTTGAATAAGTGATCATTTGCGAGAAATTGCCGATTTCAATTTAAATTACAGTGTTAGGATTTTCTATACATATTATTAGCAGCAGCATTACTAGTAGCAGATGACAATGCTCCTTTACTATTAATTGGATCTCAATGTGGGTATTAGAAGATATAATGCTTAAAAAACCCTGTATGTGTATAGGAATATGAATATCACTATAAATATTAAAGTATTACAGCAACGCCGAAGAGAATAAACATACAGTTTATAGATTGTTAAAATGTTACTGATCTATTAAATTACAATACAACATGTCCAATTTGAAGATGTCCTCTTTTTCAGTACCCATTATTACAATGCAGTCACCTGTGTCTTACTTATACGTGTTTTACAGTAACGAGTATCTCGGTTGCAACAGAGTCTGCACCAGTCTATTCTATAGGAATATTGTTGTCGGTAGTAAAGTGGAGTGTTCTCTTGAATTTCAATTGAAACTACGTTTGAGAGATGACTATGTTTCTAAATAAATAGGAAATTTGGATAACTTGTTGCTTTGCGTACGTACATACAAAGGGATTTAGAATTCCACGAAATATTTAGAGTGAACTATATAGTGGCCGAGTTCTGTAGAGGTTTCCTATATTCTTTTATTTCTTTCATGTGTTACCTTAATATTTTTTTACAAACTTTGTGAGAAGAATGATATTTATTTCAGTAAGTAAATCTTTTCAGTTATTTTTACAAGTCGGACTTTATAGCTAGATGGAGTCGGCATTTTCTAAGACTCACTAAGAACCACAGAAGTATCTTTCTTTTTAGTCCGTAAACAAAGTTATAGAATTTTGTTATAACTCACAGTAGGATTACCAGCCTTGGAATAAATTTTTGCTCGACCAGCCAACTCGATTTTCAGTCGCCAGTCTCTTAAGTACATGTGTGCTGCTGCTGAACTGGGCCATCCTCGCCGCCAAGTGTGCCACCTAAGAATATCATATTATAACTTAGACTTACAGCTAATCTTAAACTTTAATATGAAAGAGATAATATCAAAGTATCATTAAAGTTTCTGGTGCAAAGCCATTATGGAAAGCACAAAGTTAAATAACCACAAAATGAAAAAGTAAAACAAGTATAGTTTTCAAACACAAGTTATAACTTTTGCTTAAAATAAAGACAGAAACACCTTTGTTAGTAATTTAATAGTTTTATTGTTCAGTTATTTAATAATTTCGAATTTACCAACCTCGTTAATAATTGCAGAGTTCGTGACTTCTGTCCCAGTGAACGGTACATGAGTGCGGTATATCTGAAGGTGATTAGGTCTGCTCTTACAGTTCGTTCCAAACCTCGAGACTTGAAGCTTAGTCGTGTTGCTTCTAAGTAATATTTGGCGGCAGGCGCTGGTAAGCCTAAAGTTAAAGTTATCTTTAATTAAACATCTTATCGAAATTTCTTGAAGTCAGGAATGGACTTCAACGTATGACTTATTTTTTGCAAAATACATCATTTGGATTAGTGCTGGCACGACAGCCATTACTACTAGTCACCGTCTGTCACCCTGCAGGACGGTCGCGCACGACGTTGATGGACTTTAGCCAAAACCATTTACACGTTGCATAGACGTCATATGAAATTATCAAAAAGATAATGTTTCTGCCATAATACTAGTATTTCTGTATTGCTAATCTTACCTCTACTTCTTAACCAGTCGCCATACAATAAATAATGTTCCCAATTATTCGGCTCCAATTTCAGAAGCTTTGTAAGTACCCTCTGTTTCTCATTTTCTGGTTTCATCGCCAGTAGTTCCACGTGCGCTTGTACAAAACTTGGCTGTAGCCATATGCATTTTTCTAGCATCGTAATTGCTTGGTGTGTTCGGCCACTTTTTCTACAAAATTAATATTGTCCCAATTATTTTGACCCGTTCTTTGACCATCCTTTTTTTAGCTCACACATTCGCCTTTTAATAAAGCTATTATTCCTACTAAGTTTTGAACATAAATTATTGTTTAAATTATAAGATATATTTAATATCAATGTTTCATTTTCTGTAACTATTTCATTTCATACTTTTTATTCTTTTACCGTCTAAGAGCAGTGATCACAAAAGTACCTTAGATTACAGTAGTAAAGTTACATCTCAGATTTAAGTAGATACATAATTATATTTATCAATAGGATCACTTAGAACTACTTTACTTGATTTGGCATTTTTATGTTGCACAACTTATTGAAACTAAATAAAACTTTCTCATATTTTCGGAAAGTCGGAGTCTTGCAGGATCTGTTTCGCTCTCAACAAGGAACTTATCTTCATTAAAGTACTTACTTATAAAGCTTGCCAAGATTGTAGTGTGCATTCACGTGGTACTTATTATACTTTATGGCCTGCAAGAAATGGTGTTCAGCTTTATCCGTGCCTGAGACCAGAGTACCTATGTTGTTGTGGGCGCTTGCGTAACTCGGCCATAACCTGGTACAAAACATTAATTATTATCTCAGAAAAATGCAGTAGTTGACTGCTCAGTCAGTACTTATCATAGTTAAGTATAGCGGAATTGGCTCGTACCATATATCCCATAATGTCAGGCCTTAGACTTGACGTCGACGACTCGGGAATATGACTCTTCAATGTTATATGCAATTCGTTTAAACAAAAGTATACTACTGATGATTGACCTTTTGGCTTTGATTGGTAAATAAAGGATTAATGATTTGGGACGTCACGTAACATTATTACGCAATATAATAAGCTATAGAAAATTTAGAATATTCGTTTTATGTGTGGACTTTGGATTGCAATATTCGTTCACAATCTACAACTAATTTTGACATAACCACTCAACGAGATCCAAATTGTACGACCCTCGAACAGAATCCATTATACCGTTCTATAATTGTAAGGCTCCTTGTGAAATAGCCTTGATGCAATCAAAGACAATGACCAATCTGTATTGCAACAGAATTGGAATAGTCCATGTACTCCATTGAACTAAAGTTTGAGAAACAGTGTCGGGCCCTATTTTAGAGATAATTTCGATCATAGTTTCGTACTTTTTTGTAACTGTCATTTTTATCAAAATATTTATCCATTGTCACATAATGCAACGCGGCATTTAACAGTCAAGCAGACTTAGAGTTGAAGTCTAGGAGTAATAATACCTAGGGAAAAACATAAATAAGATGAAAGGATGATACCAAAAAACATTAGAGAAAATTTGGATGGAAGTTGCGCAAAACGGGTAAAATTTCAACCGTTTTTAATGTACAATCAGCATAAAACTAATCGTAAAAGTTAATCGCAAAGCTAAATCTATTTAAGACTTGACTTCAGGATTAACTCTATATAAAACATCTCGAAGACATGACGAATTGCTTCATAAACTTCCCACGAATCTCTTCGCAGTAGTTCGCGTTAAGGCAAACGGCTTTGTTACCTCAGAGCTTCTTTGTAATGTTTGATGGCGCTGTCTTGTTGCTCCGTCTCGCGTAGAAAGTTCGCCAAGTTGTAGTGCAGTTTAGCGTTTTGCGGCAAAGTCACTAAATCCGCTCTGAAACAAACAAAACACATTTGGAGGTAATTTACGTCCAAATGTGGCGCTCGTAACGGGAATATTGCAACTCTTGTAAATTGTGGTTACAATTTTGTGTCATGTTTTATACATTTCTCTTTAATGTTTTTGGAAATGAAAATTTTCCAGGTGAGTTTTTTGTGAAATTTATTAGTGTTTACGGTAAACGATTTCTGGAGTGAAATTGTGTTTGTTTTGTGTAAGAGGATGTTGTATCGGGTTTGACATTAAGTCTCTATTTGTCACTTTGCGAGAAAAAATGTTCTTTGGGTGTTTGGAAATATACGATTTATATTATTTACAAGAAGGTAAAGATTAAACGAATGCTGTTCTTTGAAAATGAATTAGAAGCTAGCGTTCGCTCGTGACTTCACTCGCTTTTGGGTCGATTTAGACAACCAGAGTGTAAGGAAAAGTAGCCCATGTGCTATTCCAGACTTAATTCTATTTCTCTGTCAAATTACATTCAGATCCATTAGAGCGTTCAGAATTTATAATATTAGTGAAATTAATCATCATCATCATCATCAACAGCCTACAACAGTCCACTGCTGGACATAGGCCTCTCCTTAGAAAAAAAGTTTTAGCCTACTATACCGCGCTGGCCAGACGTGTTGGTATAGGCTTTGTTTCAAGTTTTCCTTCTATTTACAGTGTTGTTGTCATGTAGTCAGCTCTTATGATACCCACGGGATGCATAGGGGTGGTGACTCTCCGAATTTTTAAACCTTGACCACACGGAAACCATAGTAACAATTATATTATTATTAATTAATTAGAAAGAGGGAGACTTAGTTCAATGCTCACAAGACAAGGCTGACAAGAATGCTGGCAAGATAAAGGCTATATTAATATTTGATTTGAATTCAAATTACACACTATTTGCACTGTAACAATTAATAATTTAAAAACACATCAAAACTATATTGTGAACTATATCAAACACTCAATTGGACTTAGTTTAATGTATAGAGCGTGTACACTCTTGTCTAATACGTTGAGAATGGTTGAAAGCTAAAATATTTGGCCGTAAAGGAGTCGTTATAGAAGTTTATCTTGCACCCGGAATGCAGTCGAAAACTTCAGTTGTGAATAACGGCTGCCCACCATACCCACTGACAAAGTTACGGGAATAAGCGCCCACTCACTTTGTGTAAGTTCCCTACAATAATTTAAAACAGGTCGGATGCAGAAACTATGTTGTCGGTTTATTTGTAAGCAGATGCTGGGATATTTATCTAAATACATTTTATGAGCTAAATAGTTGCACAAATACAGTACATAGTTGTACAAGTTATTAGCGAACAGCCACGGCTTTACAAGAATCGTAGAGCATATTTCACCTACATTTTTTTTTGCAGTAGAGTCGCATTAGCTTGTTGTGTCCAATGTGTGGATTAGATTGCAGATAAGTTTTATAAAAAACTGAAAGCTTTGGTGGCCACCCAGGTGACTTTTTTCCGACTTTTCAATAACTGTCGTCATATTTTTACCGATTGACACAAAACCTTAATAAATTATACACCTTAGCCTTCCTTATTAATCACTCTGTTTATTGAGATGTGGCGGAAGACTTTGAAAATTAGATTACTAAAATCCATTTATTAATATGATTTTACATTTCCTTAATCATTTGAATTTTTAGCGCGTAAATACTCCTACAATTATATAAGCTTATAAAGACATCAAAAGATAAATTTTACAGTCATAAATAAGTCTATAAAACCAGTTCTATAGCAAAATTGAACGGAACCGTAAACCACCGACAGAATTTAATATTACAGATATTTCATTATGGAGTATTTTATGAAGTTACCGCCTTGAAAGAGATCAAAAACGAATTCAATATGAACTGACTCAAAGGAAGCCAACAGCGTACCTCGTATTCAGTAAAGAATCGAGTCTGTAATGCACGGCTCTCCCGTTATAAAATCTAATCAGGAGGCCAATTCTTATAATAAAAGTTCGGTCAAAATTCAGGACCGATCAGATTCGATCTCGCAACTGGCATAAAAGGTATTTTTGTAATTTAATCCCATAACCATCATTATTTAAGTAAATGTACATTCTGGGTAGGACTGGTAGGTTGCTTACTCTTTTATATTTAAAACATATTGTATAACATAAAGCTATTCAGCAAGCAATAATCTGGTACCAATGGAGAAATCAAAAAAGTTAGTACTGCCATTTAGGTTGAACTTTTTCACGCAGATTGACTGCTACCAGACATCTTCATCACCTCAGTGTTAGGCGATATCATACACTCACTAACGCCTCATTCCCGTCCATGATCGGCAGAGGGGATTTACCATGTGGCGACTCCCACATACAAACAAACAAAAACATACTACAGCGCCATCTAACGAAGACACACCGAACTACGGAGTAACTACTAAACGAGAATTGCTAATCCTGTATCGCGATATGAAGAATTCCCTCGCCGATTAGCATATATACCACTTCCCAACATCAACCGTTGGGCCGCGGCCCGCCTGGCATGATCACCTCGCTTTGTGTTGGAGGGACATGACACCCGTTCCTCCACAACCACGATTCTGACATACACGACGTAACGTTAATTAAGCCTTTTATACAGGCTCGCATGCTTTTAACGAGGCCCATCGCTAGTACATTGATAAATTTATAGATATATCCGTCCCGTTTACCAACTCATAAAACTTTACAATGAAAAACTAATCCAAGAAATATTTTCGTGGCTTATTTAAAAGTGATTGTCGTCGTTACAAACTTAACCAATATTAGTTCTAAAACAATTAAATTATTGTTATAGCTCGGAAGAAAGTCATCGGCCCATAAAGTAACAATTCTGGGCAATTAAATAGTTTTGAAGTTCTGGAAACTAATGGAAGTAACTGTTCAAAGTTATTACACTTGTATCGTGTTTTGTCCCGTTTGCTTTCTACAATGTTAGAGGTCAGATTTAGACTGGTTATAATCCTTCTGATAATTGAGAAACTTTGATAACAATCAAAATGTTGCAAATGATTTTTAAATGACGTATAAACGAAACTTTTTAATTAGACTTTGTTTTAAGTTTAAACTGTAAGGTTTTGACTATTTAAATTTTTTACGATTTGGAGCCTCGTTGCTAAAGAGAGGCCTTTAAATATCATTGGACAACTAAAGGCTACTAATGATAGAAGGGTCACGAGCAGAAGGGTCATTGGTCATGGAAAGCGGTCACCGCCGCCAGTAGACTCCTGCACCTCAAGAGTCGTACACTGTTTTCCATTGAGAATACTCTTCCTCACCATCTCGATGAAATGACACCATGGTATCACACCGGTCCATTCGGCCCATACTTACAAGGTTACATAAGCATGGCTTTTAAACGGTAAAATAATGTAATTCTTTATAGAGTTATTTATTGGGTAAACGTGTAGTATTAAGAAAAAGGCATTAGTAGCCATTACGTGGTTGCGGCTTGAAACCTGATGCTGTAAACCTACTCTGCAGACAAACAATTAATAGTTGAAGTGTCAATCACACACACAAAATCCACAAACTATAGTTTTTTTTTTGTATTTTAAGAAAGAATAACGATATGATAAATAACAGAGATTAAAACGGTCTGGCTCATAAAAGTGATTATCACTAACATTTCCGAGGAAATACTGTAGTTCAAATTAAATACCATTTGAAATGTAAGATAAATTAGTAGAATTTTACACCCCTTTATTTGACATTGTCAACTTAGCAATTTTGATTCAATCTACGAGGCACTTGCTATAAACTTACTTTACTCTTTTAAAGATACTGTAGTTTCCAAAAAATATGGAATTTGGCATTGAACTATTACATGACAGTGGTAAAAGTTATTTTGGGGTTATGTCGTGGACATGAATTTTCAATAATTAAAAAGATAATTATGAAACAACTGATTTATAAATATGTGACTGAAGGAGAAATCGACAAACTTATGAGGAACATATCTTTAATGGTGGTTGTGGTTTAAGCGGTTACTACTCCGCCACTATTACGCTGAGTGTTGTGGGTCCGATCCCCACATGGAACGACACTTTTTGTGATCCACAAATTGTTGTTCTGAGTCTGGGTGTTCTTTGTGTCAGTTTCATGTACGTTTGTAAAGTCCCCCGCGACACAGGATTTATACTTAGTGCGGGACTTGTCTTAAAAAAAAAGTGATTGATTTCTGTAGCATTTTTTTCCTTTTATGAATGTAATGCTCACCTCAGCAGCGTAGCGCGATCTCTCCAATCTGTATTTCTTCTGTAAGTCCTTGCTACCCCACTCCCGGCGAGTATCGCTAGACCCACAGCTAGAACCACCTTGGTACCAGGTTTCGAACACCACATAAGTTGAACACCATACGCTGTGATGATCACACTGCCCACGCTGTGGAAAAACACATGTTTAAAGAATTGAAAACATTTTTAATACACTATTACTATAATTAATTTGAATATGTCAATTAGTATTTAATAGGTCTAATTAGTAAGTATTTACAACAAAGAAATATACATGTATACATACACTCGGCAATCGTAACTCTCCACAGTCGGGTGAAAAAATAACTACGTTAAGTCATTTTTTTTATATCTCAGAAATGTTTTACATTTTTCTGTAAATATAAAATTATAAAATTGATTGCCCTGACTGACTGATTTATCAACGCAGAGCCTAAAACGCTAGGCCTGCAAACTTCAATTTTTGGCAGCTGATGCTTTTTATATCGTAAGCAGCCAGTAAGAAAGGATATTTGGAAATTTCATCCCTAAGGGGTAAAAAAATGTATGGAAGTTGTATGGAAACGGTTACGGTTGTATGGAAGTTCATAATTTTAAAAGTTAGAAACACGAAATAAGATATAAACATGCAAGCGAAGTCGCAAGAAATAGTTTTAAATAATAAAGTATGAAATATCCGTTGTATAGTATTGATACTTTGAATATAAACCTTCATGGTTTGAGAGTTTTGTGAAAACTTTTTTCACATGATACCTATGATTATTTTTTTAACAAATATGCAACATTCGATTTTCGTCTTTCAATTGTTTTTTTTTTTATTCAGCTTAGACGTGAAAAATTGATACTTATTCTAAATCCGAGTCATTTTTGAATACGAGTTCCGACGTGGAACTAACGAGGCAGAAACGTCTCGCAATATCAACGCTGCGTTTGGAGAAGAGACTGCTACTGAAGGAATCGTGCGTTTTTGGTTTAAACCCTTTCGTAATGGAAACTTCGACTTGAAGAACGAGCCCCGTGGAAAACCGTCCACACAGGTAAATAACGCTGAATTTAGGGGATGGTGGAAGCCGATCCGAATCAAACTACCCAGGAATTAGCGGCATATTTTAGGTAGGGTAACGTTAAACGTTACCCTACCTAAAATATTGACCCATTTGCATGAAATCATTAAGGTAAAACAATATGAAAATGGGTGCCTCATGATTTGACTGATCTGCAGAAAGAAATGCGTATTGAAACTTGTATTGCCTTATTGAATCGGTACAGAAATGAAGAAATATTGGACTGAATTGTGACATGTAACGAAAAGTATAATTTTTACGATATCCATAAACAAAAAATGCAATAGCTGACTCAAGGTCAAACGCCACAATAGTGCCCTAAAGCAAAGCTTACCAATAAAAAGGTAATAGTAACTGTTTGGTGGTCTCTTCATGGTGTTATTCACTATAGCTTTCTCAGGTCAGGTCAGGTAATAACAGCAGATATTTACTGTGCCGAGCTTTGAGCAATGATGGTTAAACTTGCAGTGAAACAGCCCCGACACCTGAATCGATCTTCACCATTATTCAACCTTGATAACGCTAGACCTCACACTGCACGTGAAACCGTTGTAACTCTACGGGAGCTGTAGTTAGAAACCATACGTCATCCTCCGTACTCGCCAGACCTTGCTCGAACGGGCTACCTTTTTTTCGTGATTTGGACAACTTTCTACGTGATAAAAATATTTCTTCCTAGGAGGCAGTACAAAATGCTTTCACACAGTTTGTCAAATTGTTTGTCAAAAATGCAATTTAGATGGCAGTAATGTATAAATAATGAGGAAAAATATTAGATTTAATAAATATGTTACATCTCAGAAAAAACGAGCTTAAATTTTTCATTACAAATCGGCAATTTTACACCTTAACCCCTAATATTTACAAGTTAATATCATAGACATGTTAAAAGTTTGAAAACCTTACCATTGAGACGTGCCATGAATTTTAGAAATTTAGTAGAATAATGTCAGTACAGATATTGAGGAGATGCTTGAACAATTACCCACTATGGGTCTTGTAGGCGGTGTCGCATAAAACAAAAGCAATTGAAATCATAAACCAGCCGTATCTATACGCCTGCGTATAAGTATAGTGCAAGGCAATCAAGTGCATGAAAGCGAAGACAATAACGTAGCTCTCAGAAACTCAGTACACAATAAATCCAGATTGAAATCCGATACGGATATCGCAATCATGGAGAGCTCGGAACGTCACAAATTACACGCTTCATCACGATAACTGGCAGGCGAAGGTAACTACGGTTTAACGTTTCATCACATTTATTGAAAAGGAATGAATTCGGTCATTAGTTCAGTTTTAAATCCTGTTCTGCTAAATCTTCTATCGGATTGTTTAATTGTTTTGCTATTTACACTATTTTTTTTTTTGAATTTCTTAAAATCCGTTCTTAGCTGACCTCTACTCGGTGAAAAGAATTTTCCTACCAAATTTCAAGTCTTTAGCTCTGATGGTTCCAGTGATATCGTGATGAGTGACTATATACGTGGAAATTTCTTATATATATATATAGATTGTTATTTTGACACGTAATAAACATAGCATGTACTGCAGCTTTAAGAACAGGATTAAAACATATTAGATTATTTTATAAATATTAGTAGTATTAATAAAATAAACTTAAATGTTTTCATGAGCCACTTAAGGCAATAAGGATTTTCTTAGAGTTTATCTTACGGTGATTACAACATGTGTTGTATGGTGTATAATTTAAAATTACTTGCGGGATTAAGGGAATGAATATTGAAGATGTTATCCGGAGTGTCGTCGTGCTAGCAGTTTTAGCCATTTAAAAGGTCACACCGCCTACTGTCTAACTTTAAATTGAGTGTGTTGTAGTGTTATGTACTTTGAAATGCAAAGTTTTACCTTGGTATATACAGTACTCTTTCGGCGATTACAAAACCAACTGTGACTAACAAGTTACTTGCTGGTACAAATGGTAAGACCATGAGTAGAAGCCCAATGACTGCTGGTGTGTGCTTTTGGACCTGAGGAAGAAGAATAATGATCATAGAAATTGGGAAGATTACAGTTATTTATGCAAGTGATAAAGAACTTTAGAAATAAAGAAATACTTTAGGTTTAAAAAAAATCTTGTGTTTTGGTGGCTGGTTTTCTGTTTTGAACAAAATAGAACTTACTTCTCAAGCAATAAGGTATTTATTGGCTCTTATTCATTCATAATTTCCATTTACCCTCTCAACATGAGACGGACATACTCATACGGTACACCTTTTAGAAACCCTATCCGCTTGCCTTGCCTATAGATTTCTCTCTTGTCTGAAAATGATCACATACCCAAAGAAAGTTTGCGTTGGTGTCAGACAGGTAGTCAACCATAACAAAACATCAAAAAATAATTAAAAACCACACTTAGTGTTACAAATAACATGAGAATGTCTGAATAATAATAATAATAATAACCTCATACATCTCACACACGGCAGTCTGATCCCAAACTAGGCAGATCCTGTAAAATAGTAACCAGACTGCTGATAAACATACTTAGGTATATATTTCCAAATTATATTTTTACACCCAGACTTACAACAAATGATCGTGCTCATCACACAATAAATATTTGTCATGAGGTGGAATCGAACCGACGACCTCCGGCTCAGCGGTCAGAGCCACTAACACGCTAAAATGATGAAAACGATGATGTTTTTTTTAAGGTTCCGTATTCAAATGTTGAAACGGGACCCTATTACTAAGACTTAGCTGTCCGTCTGTCTGTCTGTCTGTACGTTTGTTACCAGTTACTTTTTTGCTTGTTTTTGCTCGATATTGATAACGATTGCGAATGTTTCAACAGGTAGACGCTTAAAACATTCACAGAATATTTAGTTATTTAGTACTAGTTAGTAGTCTATTAGTCATTTAGTACTTTAAAATTAAATAATTAAATTAAAATAAAGCAAATATTTAAGGAGGGCTCCCATACAATAAGCGTAATTTTTTTGCCGTTTTTATAGATAATGGTACGAAACCCTTCGTGCATGAGTCCGACTCGCACCTGGCCGCTTTTTTCCATATATTTGGTACACTTTGCCAAAATTCTACGAAGGGATTAAAGGCGATCAACTACTCTACTAAGCATTATTGGATTTGAGAATGTTGTTCATGTAAATGGGATCAAAATGTTCTAACTACTGCAATTAATACAATGGAAATTCAGCGGGACTCCTCACGACGAGTTACATGTTTCTAATTAACTAACTTCTGTCTGTTCCGTCGAAAGTTAATCAAAGTACTAGGTGTCTTTGGTATTTGATTAGTTTCTATTACAAAGGATGTGGTACTTGATATTTTACTGTATCTCCTATGTTTTGTAAAACACTGTGAATGATTATTGTTTTACCCTGGGAGAGCCATGTTTCGGCACGAAGGGGCCGGCTCGACCGTTGTGATGTCACGGCCTCACAGAAAACCGGTGTTAAGCAATTCTTTCGTTGACTTTAACTGAGGGAGTGAGGTTACCGGAGCTACGCACTTTTGGCTTTTGGGTTGCAGGTGTCCATGGGCAGCGGTATTTGCTTACCATCAGGTGACCTGTCTGCTCGTTTGCCCCCTTATACCATCGAGCCGGCCGGCCGAAGCATGGCTCTCCCACGGTAAAACTTTAACAGTTTTAACTAGAATTCTTTTGAAATAGGATAAGAAGTATTTTATTATTTGTACGTAATTCTATTCTTTACTTACAGTGTTATTAAAAATAATTTAGATAATGTTATGAGTATTTACTAGCTTGAATTCCAATCTTACCTCCATGTCAGCAATAAAACGATAGCACAGAAGGAGCAAGGCCCCAAAGGCTGCACAAGTGAGTAGGTTTCTTGGATCCCAGCCGCTGGTGATGAGAGGGACTGAGCCCATTTGCCAGTCATGACTTAGTGTCCACGGACATAGCAGCAACCACCAGTTAAAAGCCGCCAGGTAGCAGAAGGTCATTAATCTAAAAAGAAAAAATGTTTTGCATGAGGTGTACTCGTGACTAGTCAGTTTTACTAAACATTAATTTAGTAGGGTTTTGTACTGTCTTCAATTTATATTATTCCCTAATTCTTTATCCTTTGCTTTGTTTTGTTGAAGTAAATTAACTTCAATAAATAAAAAAGCCAATCGTTATTTTTTTATACTAATTTACAAAAAAACACTTTCCTGAAATTCCTTTTATCCTTTATTATTTTATTACAACGGTGCTCCAACATTAATTATAAAGCTGGCAATTCGGTAGAAAAATATATATTTTTAAATTGTCGATGGTCCTAGCAGTACAGAGAGGTTCCTTTGAAAACCTAATATAATATTGAAGTACTGGGATACTACGAAATTAGAACGGCTCAATTGATTTATTTATCAATCTTTAGCAGTTCTAGTCAATAACTCTGCGAATCCCCCCCTCCCCTGTTTCTTTTAGGAGGTGGGAGGGGGTTAAAGGGCGCCAATAGACTTGTGACTCCAAAATTGCAGGTGTCTATGGGCGGCGATAGTCATTTTCCGTGAGGTCTATTTGTTTATCCCCATATTTTTATTGTTAGAGGAGGCAGACGAGCAGACGGGTCAAATATCTTATTGTAAGTACTTTTTTTTGGGTTTATATTAACTTTCAAGATTATATTAAATTATTAGTGTATTACAAGTTACGTCTCGGTACCAGGGACTTCCTTTCTAGGATACACCTGGTTACCCGGCAACTGGTACCCGAGACGGCGTGTGGGTTTTGGTGGGTTCGAGTCCGACATAACCACCCACCGCTGGGTGGTATCCGAGGGGATCCTCACAGAAAAAAAAGTGTATTACAAGTTAACCTATTAAAAATTATAAAAATTACTAGCTGACTTGGCAAACGTTGTTTTGCCATATACATTATTTCATTATTTTTTTTAATATTCTAATAATTTAGGTGTATAAAAAATAGATGTTGGCCGATTCTCAGACCTACCCGATATGCATACAAACTTTCACGAAAATCGGTAGAGCCGTTTCGGAGGAGTTCAACCACGCACATCGTGACACGAGAATTTTATATATTAGAGATAGAGTTATACTTACCTTACAAAGAAGCTAGGATGAAAAGCGGCAGGGTTATCTTGGGATGAGAATGACGGCCAGGTGCCTTGCAGCAGCGCCAGCCTTAAGCACACTAACAGAGCTAATGACACAATGACTTTCACAGTCCGGATTGACAGGCCGTTGCATTTCTTTTCAATCTTCAACGAGCATATTGACCTGAAGAAAGATTGTCATTAGTTTGGATTTAAAACAGAGGCTTTATTCTAAGCTAAAAGTAAAAAAAATGTACCAATACATAGGAATATCACTAATAGAGAGTTCACGGATATTCTTTTATATATTTTCGAACATGTGACACAAAACGCCATCTAGTTACAAACTCAACAGAGCTTTTTCTTTGTAAATACATACATTGCACCCATACTCTGAAACAGCACAGATTGCAGATCATACAAATATTAGTTCCGACCCGGGAATCGAACCTCAGTACAGCAGTCGCATACGCTACCACTGCTCCACCGAGGCAGTAATTTTTATTTCTCATTGGTGACGGGTATGCGTTTGGTGACGGGTATGCGTTTGGTGACGGATTAAAAATACAGTGTCACCATGTAGATTTCGTATGAGCCGAATAAGGTAGCAAACAACAGCACTGCAAAGAGAAGGCAAACTTGAATCAAAACCTACACCATCCCGTCTGGCCAGCTTGACATAGTAGGCCAAAACGAAAGGAAAGAGGTATGCGGCCCACCTGAATAATATGGGTCACATAGTATAGCAGAGTAGTTTTTACAATACTAGAGTTGCCACGGGTGCGTTTTTAACTCTTTTTTTTGCCCTTTTCTCAAATTTATTTCTGATCCGCGCAATGAGTTTTTTTCTGCCATTCTCCTTTACCACTCAGTAAATATCATAAATAAAACTTTTCTACTGAGTTTTTCTGATATCTACGCATCACATGTCCATACCAGGATAACCTGTTGCTCGTGAACTTATCGAAAACACGTGATATTTAATTTTATCTATTGATATTTTTCAGTTTCAATAATTCCTACCTAGTTTTGTAAAAGTACACTATTATCTATATCTCTTTGTCTCTGTGTTAAAATAAGAATAACATCCCTTAATATACAATACAATATTTTTTTCAAAATCATTATTTTTATCTTTTTGTGTCCATTTACGAGTAAGGTTTACTCATTGGCACTTGATTTGCTTAGAGTCACAGTAGAGGCCGACATTTGCCACCCATTTGTAGTCACCAAATATATAGTATTTGTTCAAACACAAATAGATCTTTTACGATTCAAATTTCCACGATCAAAGAGTGTTGAACTTCAGTCCAACCATAAAATATAATTACAAGGATCATAGAGGGCTACGGCCTGTCTCAATCTGTGGATAAAACCCACTGACCTTTATGATTTTATTTTTGTCTATCCATGCGGCTAGTGGTCGGTAACGAACCTAAATAATGTTGAGTCTCTCTTTCTCTGTGAACGTTATCCATGAAGCGTGAATATGAATGATACTTAAGAGGCATAATTGGCCAGAGGCCAGGACCATTCAGTGTTTTGATACGACTGTTATTTTATATTACTGTGAATGGGAATCGAAATGAGGTTAGTTGGTGACTTCAGAATTTACTTATTTATGTTTTTTATGTCATAGTATGGCAAACGACCAGACGGGATACGTAGTGAGTCCCCCCTACCCTCCAGGACCAGTAGGACCTCTTTCCACGGATTATGGGTGGGGGGTGGGGGGGGGGGGGGGGGGGTTAACCTGACTCACTTGGTGAATAGCAACGGAAGAATAACTAAACACCGGTTTTCTGTAAATGTAAGCGTGGTGAAGCCAGTACATTTGTGCAGAAGCATAGATCTCCCACGTGTTAATAAATACTCTCATTAAAACGTGAAGAAAATTGTTTTACACATTATTTAAAGAAATATATGGTGCATGAGATCATATCATATTTCGGATTTTCAATGCTAGAAGCATAGAAAGCTAAAAAAAATATATATATGTGGTAAAAAAATTAAAAGTAATGTAAAGACGGCTACATAACCATTAATAGTATTTTAGTATAATTTGACCTGTCATAGTACAGAAGTCTACACAATAAATAATTTGTGGTTACCACAGCCTGTAAGCACTTGGATCACCAGTTGTGTCACTTATGCAAAATGAACCCTTTACAGTGATAGAATGAGGTTTACAATCCTATTCACGGAAAATAAAGAAAATACATACACTTTTTTAACAAGAAGGGGCAGACGAGCAGACGGGTCATCTGTTGGAAAGTGGCCATCGCCGCCCATGAAGGTCTGCCGTTTAAGAAGGAGTACGCTCTTTTCAGGAAGGTTTGAAGGTCGTATCGGTCCGGAATACCACAGACGTTAACCCGTTCCACAGATTGGTTGTACGAGGCAAAAAGTGTCTCGAAAAGCGCACAGTAGGGGAACGCCAACTATACAGGTGATGAGGATGAATATTTTGCCGTGTGGAACGATGGCGGAAAGTTGCAAAAGTTGAGTTTTTTATTCTAATAACAGGATAAATAAATGGTCATCTCATAACACAAGATCAAGTAACGTTATCATTGTTCATAACTTTTTCGTTCTCTTGCTTGTAAAACGTTTATTTATATTGATTTTGAAAGTTTTATAAGAACATAAATGTCCAACACTGCTGATGGAGCTCGTAAATATTATAGCGGTCTTGACTGGAAACAGCGGTGTGGCTTGATCGTATCGGTTTTATTTTTAAATATGCAATATCTCCGCAGTTTCACCTACCTTTATGTATGGTTTTTACCCTTGACATGTCCAGCAGTGGACTGCTAAAGACTGTTGATGATGATGCATATATCGGCTGTATTCTTTTTATCCAACGTTAGAGAGACATTTGATGACGCGTCACTTTTAAAGATTACATTTTCACATCACATCACATCAACAGCCTTCATTAGTCCACTGCTGGACATAGGCCTCTTCTTAGAAAGGAGGTTTTCGCCTACTATACCACGCTGGCCAGACGGGTTGGTATAGGGTTTGTGTCAAGTTTTCCTTCTCTCTGCAGTGCTGTTATTCTGCATAGTTTTCTCCCTTTAGTCGGCTCTTACGACACCCATGGTATAAATAGGGGTGGTGACACTGTATTCTTAATCCGTCACCACACGGACGATTTTGATATTGATAAATTTCCATTACCAATACTGATTTATGCGACTGATGCTTAAACTCACCTCAAGCCTAGACTCCTATAATTATATGATCCAATTGCTCAATAAAATAATTTAATTAGCCCTCAGTTGGTACCATTCCAACACCCATTAAAAGCTTAGTTCAATAATTACCTTGAAAAAGTATCAATGATTTCAAGGCGCCTAAATCATGACCGATATATTATAGCAAACCGTATACTTGCTCCCTAATTATCAACCCTGCCAGATGTAATATTTCATTCAAATCGAGTTGAAACCAATCTGAAGTATTGATACTTGACTTGTGAAAGAATTATTAAATTCAGTTAACAATATAGAATAATATGCACACAAAAAGCCAACTGAAGCCAACCAGTCAAAATTAAGACCATCTTTTTAAATTCAGTTAAACTTTCAAACACTTCAACATATTCTTTATCTACTTTACTTGTTTTCTAAACACGTACATCAATTAAAAACAACAAAAAAGCATCCATATTAAACAAAAAACATTTGTGACAACCCTAGTGTTATAGACATTCGATGGCTGATACCTAGGGTTGTTTGATGTAACTGGTTTGTCGTATAATCAATATTCATGCTGTATCGCAGCCATCTCTTTTGCCTAGGTAGTAATATTATATATTTATATTTTTGTCATCTATAATACAAACAAAAAAATTGAATGAAAGACGTCCTCATCTTAAAGTCTTTTGAAAAACAACTTAAAATATGGCTGCTAGTAAAAACACGTTACACTTTAAAATTATTTTATGGTTAAATTTGATCATATATAACATACACTATCAAATTAAGTGCAGAATATTTGTTTTAACCTTCTACTATTTACTAAATATTTATATAGATATCTATATAAATCATCATCATCAACAGCCTTTACTAGTCCACTACTGGATTTGGCTTCTCCTTAGAAAGGAGGTTTTGGTCTACTATACTACGCTGGCTAGACGGGTTGGTATAGGGTTTGTGTCAAGTTTGCCTTCTCTCTGCAGTGCTGTTGTCCTGCGTAGTTTGCTCCCTTATCGTCTGTTACGACACCCACGGGATAAATAGGGGTTTTGATACTCTGTATTCTTAATCCGTCACACACACCACACACAAAAATATAAATATTTATCCATAAATAGTTAAAAGTTATGTAGTGAAACACATAGCATTATGTGATGTGTTTTAGGACATAACTTTCACTTGCAACTTGCAGGCTTAATACTCGTAGATTCTTTTTTACAATAGTAGAGTTTTATGAATATATCCTGTGTCGAGGGGGACTTCACAAACATACATGAAACGGACAACAACAATTTGTGAATCACACAAAGTGTCATCCCATGTGAGGATCGGACCCACAGCACTCAGCGTATTATCAAGCGGCGTGGCGACCGCTTAAACCACTACGCCATCCGTGCTGTCATAGATTGACCATATTTTAAAAACCACACCTAATGTAACATGTGATATTTAATTTCTTGTTATAAGGACCTGCTTAAAATTTCGGTAGTACTTATTTGCCCATAAATATTGCCACATATTCATATAAGCATTTTTTTTCTAAAATCGTGAAAAATTTACAAACAGGTAATTTTAATTTACATATAATTTACATTTACTCAGTGTCAATCTCACAATTAAGACGAATCCAACAACACCTAGAAAGCCAAAGCTACAGAACGTACCAAGGAAATATACACATACGACGAAGTGGAAGTGGGCCGGTCATGTGTCCAGACGGACTGATGGTCGTTGGAGCCGACATGTGCTAGAGTAGAGACCGCGATTGGGCAAACGTAGTGTGGGCGCCCTGCGGCACGATGGACCGAAGACTTAAGGAAAATAGCTGGCAGCGGATGGATGCGGACTGCTTAAGACCAGGATGGTTGGCGCTCTTTGGGGGAGGCCTTCGTTGAGCAGTGGACGGCAATAGGATGAAAGAAGACACTCGACAAACAAACCCTCCTTCTAGAGCAGTCGGATAAAAAGGCAGTAAACT